GGAGGGGATGGAGTAGGGCTTTCCCAGTCTCTGGAGGCACCAAGCCAGCAGCATCCAGCCATGAGCCTCAGCCTCTGGTTGGTTTTTCAAGGGAGGGCAGGCAGCTGCACTCCTGCTCATAGCTGTTCACACCCCTCCTGGGCTCTTTTGTTTTCAGTCTGAGCCTGAGGAAACTCTCTGCTGGAGTCAGACAAGCCAGGGGCCGTTGGCTCTGCTCAGGCCATGCCCTCTGCAGGCATGCCAGCTTCCTATCTCACGGGAAGGGAGTCAGGGCAGAATCTCCCTCTGGGGCTTCCCCCCTCCGGTCTGCTCCTGGCAGGTTAAGAAGCCAGGAGGCTGGAAATGCTGCCTTCTCCCTCCTGCCCTTGATGGAGGAGTCCAGCTGCTGTCCCATGGTGAGTCCAGGCAGCCAGAGTCCCCTGGCCAACACAGAGTGTGAAGGGATCAGATACCCTCCAGCCAAGGCCAGGGTCTCACTCCTGCTTATGGCATCTCCCATAGGCCTGGACAAGCCCCTCCACTTCCACCCCACCACCAAGGGCTTCCAGATACAGCTGGATGCAGCATGCCGCACAGCAAGCAGGACTGGCACTTTCTGTGATGGCATCGTCTTCAGCAACCGGCCTGTGCAGCTGGACGAGAAGGTGGTGCTACAGGTGCTGTACACGCATTCCCGCTGGGACGGGGGACTCCGGGTTGGCTTCACCAGCCTGAACCCCTCGCAGATGATCCCTAAGGACCTGCCCCACTTTGTCTGCCCATCTCTGGTGCTGCAGGGGCAGACATGGGCATCCCTTCTGCCAACTGCCTGTGTGGGGCAAGGTACCATTGTCCGATTCTGGGTGAATCGCAGGGGCCAGGTCTTCTTTAGCATCAACAACAAGCCCCGCAGCTTACTCTTCAAAGGCGTGCCAGTGGAGGGCCCACTCTGGGCTGTCATGGACATTTATGGCCAGACCAAGGCTGTTCAGCTGCTGGGTGAGTCTCTGAGCTCGCGTTAGGGGAAGTCATGTCTCAGGAAGCTGGTTCCCCTCTGACATAGCCCTGAGACCTGGGCTGGGAGCAGAGGCTCTATCTGGGTGGTCCAGGCTTTGCCTACAGGGTCTAACTCCCTGGAGAGTGGTGCCTGGGGCAATGTGTGCCCACCTTGGGGGTCCAGCCAGATGATGCCCCAGCAGAGGAAGACTCCAGGGTGCAGGCTGACTCGCAACATCCTCATCTGGGTTTTCCCCTTTTCTAGACCAGTATGGAGTCCTCCAGGAGCTCCCCCCTGAGCTGCCCTGTTCCTTCCCGCTGGATGGTGAGTGTCAGGAGCCAACACTTGGCCTCTTTACATTCTTGGTGGAGGGGGAATCATGTTACAGGTCATGTGTGAGACCCCACAGTGGCACAGGGAGGGTGTGTCCCAGCCGCCTGCGGAGGGTTTAGATTGAAAGTGTGGTTGGGGGTAGAAAAGTAAGAAAGATTTATTGACTTAAGAAGAACACAACTACGCATAGTAACAAGACAAACGATGACAGACAAAAGCAATTTGCGGTGGCAACTTATCGGCAGCCCTTCTGATGCCCGATACACAGCAAGCTTCTCTTTCCAAAAAGTTCAGTGAGGTCAGGCATCCCCGGACAACGCTGTCTGAGGGGTGCCGGGAAGGGCCCTGGAATGCAGTTCTTGGGCTCCTCAAGGTCCACAGGCCCACTGATCCAGGCAACAGCTAACTAATCCTTTTCACAGAGCTGCATCTTCCTTCTGAATGGTTTCCAGATATTTCAGCTAATTTATAGCTTCTG